TTGACTAATTTAGCATGATTCCTGGACTGTAGAACTAGAGTTTGCAAGGCTATAAATGTACCATCTTCTCTTAAGTTTGCCCTCTGCAACCTCAGGATTTTCTCCATTTTTTAGTATCAGTGATTTTAAGGCATAATCTCAACCCAGTGCAAAAATATAACTGCTATTTATGGTATAAGCAGCAAAGATCAGATATAGAAAACCTTGCAGAATTTGCTCTCAGTATATCATTAGTTGTAATGCACAGGGTATTTATATCCCTGAAGAACTCTGTGGAAGAATTTGTCTTCAGGACTAGTTGGCTAAGGGATGAGATAGATTCCCGTACACTTTTAGATATGACCACTTCTTTGAGATGCTAGAACATAGCACAGATGCTATAAAATAAATCAGAATTCTAAATCTGTATGAATTGTACTATGCGTTATTACTTGAATTGGTCATTTGCTGCTACAGACCATGGTGTCATCCTGTTAAATGGCCACTGTTACTGCTATGATGTTGGACTGTGTTCTTTAGCAACGACAGAAAATAATGATGCATTGATAGGACTATTATGCACTGACAGGACTTTGTGGCCAATATTGTTTGCATTTTTTGGCCTCTCTCCAGCTGCATAGAATCCTTTCATTTGACATTAGGTTCTACTATTTTGGCTTTACAAACTTCCAAAAGGACTGGGATGGAGCAATGATCCCAGTAATTAATACAAGTAGTAGTTTATTAACACATATAGTACAAATACTCTGAAGCTGACTTAAAATTTTCCTTATCAGTCCTACCTGACACTTTCCTTTTTCTGATCTCTTTTAAAAACATACATTTCCTTTGCTGCTTAAATCCATATTTCCCAATAAATCCCCAAAGCAATGTATTTTAAATAGCAAAAAGCTATTTTAACAGAAAGAAAAAATATTTTAAAATTTTATTCCCATACAAAGGTTGCTGTGAGGCTTATGTCTTGTCAGAATGTTTCTTAATTCCATCTGTCTTCCCTGCTGTAAGTCTATAAACTGAGATCCATAGAGGCTTGCGTTACATTTGACAAATGTTACTGAGTTCAGATATTGATGCAAAAGTCAGTAAAGTGGAATTATCACCATTATACTTTTACCACAGGGAGGTACTGCTAACCTTCCACCATAAAAATTTTTAAAGATAAAAATCCTGAATTGCACTCCTATCCATTTTGCCTCATGCACATTGTCTCTGTGGTGTGATACATGCCCTACTACACCAACATTCTCAAGCAGGAGCTCTTGGCTTTTTGGAAAGCACAGTGCAATTAACCCAGAATAGTTTTTCTGTCTTAGTAAGAAGTTCTGCTGGTGCTGCCTTATACTGCGCTGTCAATCTTGGATCAAAGTAAGATGTTAAAAATAATAATAACAAATGAAAGCAAGAGGGTTATAAATCAGTTTTGGAAATTACTGTTCCCCAGGAGGGAGTTGTGATTCTCTTCAAAATTTTTGTTAAAAGGTCAAAGCCTTTGAACAACAAATGTTAATACAATGATTTACTTTTGTAAGTCACTCTGCCTCTCAACTATGCAGATTTCTGTAAAACCCAGTAAGTAGCTTATAAGGTCCAAGCTTTTATTTAAAATGGATAATATGCTTTTCTACTAATTTCAAAATAATGAAATGGGCCTGCAGCACAGTTCTGCTCGCAAGAATGACCCATTTTCCCCTGGTGGTTTGGCCATTGACTCCTTACCTGACCACATCTAATAAATTCCAAAGGAAAAATAAAACACACACGACATATTTCCCTTGAACTTCTTCCTGACTGTTGATCACGACAAATAAAACAATTATTCTCTCCGTGATCTGAAAAGAAAAAAAGAATTGTGAATTCAGGTAGCATCTTCTGTAGCTCTCATTTCCATGCCATTTTGGCAAAATAGGAGGCCAGAGGTGAATCCAGTTTGCTTTACACAAATGCACCAGTAAATGTTTTGCTTCTTGGCCTGCTTTTGTTCAAGACCTCATTGGCCTCCAGCTCAGGGAACTGGAAACTGTCGGCAGCAGCATTGTACACCTACTAGGGTAAGGGTGGAGATTTGCTTGCCAACGAGGATGACTTGGGTTTGCAGCCCAGGAAACCCATGGATGAGCTGACTGAGGCTGTGGGAGCATGGGCTTCCCCAATGCACCTTGGTGCCTGGAGGGCCTGCGGGGATAAGCTTCCTTGCTTGTAGGCTGCATGGGGTGTGGTGGTTTCACCCTTTTGGTTTGCAGCCAAGCACAGCCTGCTCTCTGACTCTCCCCACGCTCCAGGGACTAGGGGAGAGAATTGGAAATGAAAGGGCAAGGAGTCTCACAGTTGAGATAAAAGCTATGTACTAATTAAAATAAAATTATAATGATAACAATGATAACAGAATTTACAAATGAGTGATACATAGTGCAATTGCTCACCACCCACCGACCAGTGCCCAGCCTGTGCCAGCCAGTGATCCCAGAGCAGAGACTGCAATTGAAACCGCAATCCCAGAAGAGCGAGCCCAAGCGAGCCCCGAGAGAATATCCCTGTTTTCCAGTCAGCCCTGGTTAATATACTGACATAATGTGATATGATATGGAATATCTCATTGGAACAACCAGATGCCACTTTGGGGTTTTGCTAGTCATTGCGCTTCTCCCTCCCAGTCCTAATGCAGCTGTGAACCAACCAAACACGGTGGCCTTGAGCTCCAGCAGCAACTAATGACATCAGTATTTTATCAACATTCTTCTCATAACAAATCCTACACTGAAACTAAAACACAGCTATTCTAACTACTAAGAAGGAAATTAACTCTCGCCGAGCAAAACCAGGACAGTGGGTAGTATGACAGACAAAGCCAGTCTCAGTCCCCATTCTGCTTTCCGTAGCTTGGAGATCTGCATCCTGAGGGATCTCACATAAGATTTGTAGAAAGGAGGAGGGGAAGTAGAATTCCTTATTTTTCTTTTTTTCTTATTCCTACCTAAGAGAAGTGCATTTAATACTGTCATTTATGTGAATTATTGCCATAATATTTATGTCATAACATTTTTCTAGTGGTTGAAACTTATCTGACCAACAAGGTATGCCTTTACAAATTAAAAAATATAAAAGTGGATGAAACAGGCAGTGTCTCCACTTAAAAAAAATACTTTTGCAATATTAAAGCTCAAGAAATTAAAAACAAGTGTGTCTTTTTGCAGCTTTCTTGGACAAGTTTCCTGTCAGTACCCATGCCCTGCCCTGTAAAATAAATATATCTGTAGTATTCCGTACTGCCAACAGTTGCTTGTGCAACTCTCCAAGAATGGTACCAGTTCACTCTGATTTACACTATTTGAAAGTGTTGAAGAATACATTCATCTAGTTAGTTGGTATGAACCACTGTATCTTCATTGGGTTTTTTAATACCCACTGCCATCTCTTCCAAAGGTACCTTAGGTTTCATGATTTTATGGGTTAAATGAATGTAGACTAACAAGGTGGTTTTTATAAGCGCAGTCATTCTTCTTCACAGGTCTTCCCCCTTGCCCTCACTCCCACCTTAAACAAAACAAGAACTTGTCCTCTCAGTGAGTTTGAGTGGTAGTTTTGCTACCTAATGTTTACTGGTTCCTGTGTGGAATGTTTTGGCTATGGACTATTTTGGCAAGCCACATGTGTCAGATAAAGCAGCCATCACTTCACTATTCAGCAAAATTACGTGAGAGCAATTTTCCTTACAGAAAGAGAACATGTCCGTCCCCTAGGGATCTGGTTCCTCATCTTGAAAAGCACTGAGGAGCCACAACAAATAAAAATGGGTTTGCTGCCTCTCAGACTGCCTTAACTGTCATCTTGTGCTGCTGATCCCATTGGTCCCTAACTGAGGAAGTGATTTCTAAGAAGGTCAGATGCTGACAGACTTCTGTATAGAAGGGCCAGGAAACAGAGAGTGAGAATTAATAAGTCCTGTGTGTGTACACTGATGCTGAAAATGGGGAAACTGGAAGTAATGATGCAGGATCTGAAACCAGATACAAGAGAGATAGGAGAAGCATGGTGGGACAACCATCACAAGAGGGAAATCAAAACAATGGTAAAAGCAGTGCGAGCATTGAACAAGATTGTGTGCTGAGAAGACTAAATACAATAGAACCTGAGTTAAAATAATTTTGGTGAAGGAGTGCATCATTGGTAGTGTGGCCATTTTGTTACTGAACCTAAAACCAGACTCGAAGGTAGAGAGAGTTCTCCAATATTGTTAATATCAGAGAGATTGCAGGGAATTGTGTCACCTAGGGACCACAGCTTTATCACGATAATGAAAAGGTGGGTATGTTTTTAGATGTGAGAGCTGGCAGATTTTCCAAATGGTCTCTTGCTCTTCAAGAGGTGGCTGAGTGGAAAAGTGCTAGAAAACAGCATGGGTCAAGTCACCAGGAGCTGGTCCCATTTCAGTGAAATAAAAGGATAAGCAGTAGACAGGTACTTATCATCCCCAATTTCAAAAGGATGAGTACTGGCCAACACGACACAGTGGCTATGGAGACCCACAATTCAGCCTCATCATCTGGGAGTGGAAGAGGCTGTGGATTGCCTTCTTTCTCCAGGGCACAAGCAGATGCTCAAGAGGCAGCAAATATCACCCTGCTGGGGCTCATCAGATTTCCTCCATCAAAGGATTCATGTTTGTGAAGGGGAGCAGTGGAGGCACTCAGCCTCAGTAGTTGCAGATGATGGAAGTCAGCAATCAGACTGTGCAAAGTATGTTAAGCACCTGCAAGAACAGGGAACTGGACCAGACAAAAAGGAGGTCTCCTGTAAGTCTTCCGTTCCTGTTAGCGTGCAGTCTCAGGCAGCAAACAAGGGGATGGACAAAGCAGCCATCAGAGGCCAAAACTGAAAATGGTCTGTGGCGTTGCACATCTGCAGGGCAGGACACAGGCCTGCCTGTTCAGGGCAACTGTGATAATAGAATAATAAAATCACTTTGGTTGGAAAAGACCCCTAAGATCATCAAGTCCAACTGTTAACCTAACACTGCCAAGTCCACCACTAAACCATGTCCCTAAGGGCCACATCTACCCATCTTTTAAATACCTCCAGGGGTGGTCACTCAACCACTTCCCTGGGCAGCCTGTTCCAATGCTTGACAATCCTTTGGGTGAATAAATTTTTCCTAATATTCAATCTAAACCTTCTCTGGTGCAAAATGAGGCTGTTTCCTCTCATCCTATCACTTGTTACTTGGGAGAAGAGACCGGCACCCACCTCTCTACAACCTCCTTGCAGGTAGTTGTAGAGAGGGATAAAGTCCCTCAGCCTCCTTTTCTCCAGGCTAAGCAACCCAGGTTCCCTCAGATGCTCCTCATAAGACTTATGCTCTCGACCCTTCACCAGCTTCATCGCTGTGCTTTGGACACAATCGAGCACCTCAGTGTCTTTCTTGCAGTGAGGGACCCAAAACTGAACACAATATTCAAAGTATGACCTCATCAGCACCGAGTACAGGGGGATGATCACTTCCCTAGTCCTGCTGGCCACACTATCTCTGATACAAGCCAGGATGCTACTGGATTTCTTGGCCACCTGGTCACATCTGGGTACACTGCCATCTGTCGACCACCATCCCCAGGTCCTTTTCCACCAGGCAGCTTTACAGACACCCTTCCCCAAGCCTGTACCGTTGTATGGAGTTCTTGTGACTCAAGCCCAGGACACATCACTTATAGCCTTGAACCTCATAGAGTTGGCCTTAGCCCATCAATCCAGCCTGTCCAGATCCCTCTGTCTGTTCTGACCCTTAAGCAGATCAACACTCCCTCCCAGCTTGGTGTCCTCTGAAACTTAATGAGGGTGTACTTGCTCCCCTCGTCCAGATCGTTGATAAAGATGTTAAACAGAACTGGCCCCAGTACTGAGACCTGGGGAACACCACTTGTGACTGGCCCCCAACTGGATTTAACTCCATTCACCACAGCACCAGCCAACCAGTTTTCCACCTAGTAGAGTATGCCCATCCAAGCCACGAGCAGCCAGTTTCTGCAGGAGAATGCTGTGGGAAAGGGTGTCAAAGGCTAAGTACACCACATCCACAGCCTTTCCCTCATCCTCTAAGCGCATCACCCTGTCATAGAAGGAGATCAGGTTAGTCAGGCAAGACCTGCCTTTCATAAACCCATGCTGACTGGGCCTGATCTCCTGGTTGTCCTGTATGTGATGTGTGCTGGCATATGTGCCATGTGATGGCACTCAAGATTATCTGCTCTATACCCTTCCCTGGCACTGAGGTCAGACTGATGTCCTCATGAGGACAGACAGTGGCATCCTACCTCTTTTTTGTGTAAATCAGGTGGTTGCCTGCCTGCTTGCCTTTATTCCCCTTCAAGACATGATACTCTCTTCTTTCAGAGCACTCTTACCTTTAAGTAACTCACACAAATCAAAGGTAGATGGATGGCTTAGTCAGAGGTTGTGGGCCTTTTCAACAAGTGACAAGGCAGGGTGCTACTTGAACAGGAGATTCTAGTTAATGTCTGTTGATATTGTGCCCCTGTATACACACATCTGTGTGCATATATAAATATACACACAGATGTCTGGAATCATGTACCTCTATAGATATACACACAAATGTATGTATATGTATACGTGTCTGTATACACACATATACACACATACATAAAAAGCATGTGCTGCTCCTCAGCCACACCTCATTTCTTCTATGGATCATCTGTCCTTGGATGAATGAAACGATGGTATTCTCTGTTGTTACTCTCTTGCTTAAAAAAAAAAAAAAAAAAAAAAAAAAAAAAAAAAAAAAAAGCAAAACTAGAAGTCCTATGTTTTCATGTTAATAAAAAGGAAGTATGTGCGGACACCTCGCAAAGCATAAATACAATGGTTTCATTTTTCATTTCTTCTTGTTCTTTGTGTTAAAATCAAACTGGAATTTCCTTCGTCTCTTATCACTGGTCTCTCACAGGATAGAGCAAGTTCTGTAGAACGGCATAAATTTCCACAAGGCAGCCTGGGCATTTGCAGCAAGTAAGTGAAACAGAGCAAATTAGACTAGCTGAGGTTAGGGCAGGAGAAGGCAGCACATTCACTTAGATTTTTTAATAACTGTGACTGTGCAGTATTGTACATGGTACCTGAAACCATTACATAGCTCTTCAATTTAGTGAATGTTTAAAAAATATTTTTAAAAAAGTAAGAAAAGTGCTACTAAATATTTAGATTAAGTTAAAATTTAATGTGTTTATCACAAAGCTGTAGTACATTGCTTTTGGTCTGGTAAATCCAATCCTGTTTGCACAGGATGAAGAACTGGTTTTTTGTTCACAAAAATGCCAGTCTTTTCTTACATCTTTCCTACTCTCTACCTTGCTAATGCATCAGTCCCATCAACCTTTACTCCCTGCCCAGACTACTAAATATAATTATCCTGTGTTTTGGCCACTGCAATGACATGTGACACATTCTCCTGTCCTCCTCTCAATCATTCAAACTCCAAATGTCCTGAGAGATATCCCTTTGCACCAACTTTGTGACCCTTCCTATCCTCCCTTCCTCCAGAGCATCATCACACAGGACTCATTTGTCTTTCATGGTGTGACTTGACCTTGGCCTACCAAACCTTTCTCAGGTGCCTGATGGCCTGAGACTTTGTCCCTCATGAGGTCATCCTGAATTAGTTTTTCCAGAAAACATTTCTGAGTTTGTTTGTCCACTATCTATAATGTGTATCTCAAAGTGTTCCTTGTAAATGCTACTAAACCACTATAAATTGGGTATTAGGCAGAAATCTTCATTCAATTCTGCTTAAATCTTGTCTCTGCTATAATGCCTCCAAAAAACCCAACCACCATAGGGGTGCTTTCACAGCCTGGTTTATTGAAGATGACATTACCTCCACCCAGGTGCTCCCCTGACATTGTCAGAGCTACTACCTGTTCTCTCATCCTAGAGGTCAACTGAAATGAACTTCACATGTGTGTGCATGGCCTGAGGGATGCACCTAGGGATATGTTTTAAGCATAGAGTCAACAGTCAGTGGGAACAGAGAACAGGGCAGCCACTATCAAATTCTTGCAACTTTACCAGTAGTCTGACAATGTGCAGTAGCCCAGTAGGCTGCAGAAAGGTAAGCATCTCTAACTGTCCTTCTTCAGCTCATTGTGAAAAATATAACTTTTCTTTCCTAAGAAGCAGGGAGGAAAGTGTGGCAAGGCATGTGGGAGTACTGTTGGCACACAACTGCTTAACCTGCACTCTCACAGCAAAAGCAGGGCAACCCAAGTGAAAGTAGAGTCTACACCAAAGAGCTTGTACACCTTGCTTGGACATCATGAGACTACAGCTAACATCAAGGCAAGAGAGTTGTGTTTCATAGAATCATAGAACCATAGAATGGTTTGGGTTGGAAGGGACCTTTAAAAGTCATCTAGTCCAACACCCCTGCAGTGAGCAGGGATATCTTCAACTAGACCAGGTTGCTCAGAGCCCTATCCAGCCCGATCTTGAATGTTTCCAGGTATGCAGCTTCTACCACCTCTCTGGACAATGTGTTCCAGTATTTCACCATCCTAATTGTAAAAAATTTCTTCCTTATATCTAGTCTAAATCTACTCTCATTTAGTTGGAAACCATTACCCCTTGTCCTACTGCTACAGGCAGTGCTAAAAAGTTTGTCCCCATCTTTCTTAGAGGCCCCCTTTAAGTATAGAAAGGCCACAATAAGGTCTCCCCAGAGCCTTCTCTTCTCCAGGCTGAACAACCCCAAGTTTCTCAGTCTTTCTTCATGGGAGAGGTGCTCCAGTCCTCTGATCATTTTTGTGGCCCTCCTCTGGACTCGTTCTAACAGGTCCATGTCTCTCTTGTGTTGGGGGCTCCAGAACTGGACACAGGACTCCAGGTGGGGTCTCAACAGAACGGAGCAGAGGGGCAGGATCACCTCCCTCAACCTGTTGGCCATGCTGCTTTTGATGCAGGCCAGGATACAGCTGCAGTGAGAGAACACTTGGGGAAAGAACCAAGTAAAGATCCAAAGCTATCTTTGCTGTGAGACGAATGTTTAGAGTCACAGTGCTGTATCATTCCCGGACCCACCTCTTCCATGCTGCCCTGGATACCACCACAGTAATTGCACTGCCCAAGAATGGTCACAGTTTTCTTGCTCAGAATATCCTTTTGTATCTAGTGTCTTTTGTGACAACACAGAGCACTGTTTGTGCAGACTCCCCTGACCTCTGCTTCTGCAGAGCTGGGTAGGAAAGGAATGGTTGATGTCAGGGCTGGGGAATGTGCAAACTCTGCCAGGACAAGCTTTGCTGTTATGACTGTTAGCATTAGCAGGCTGCTCTTCTCTCCAAGAGATGATGTGAGATTTGTTAATACAAATGTTTGAGGATACATTAAATAGGTTTGGTTTTTTTTTTCCTAGGTTAGTGTAAAAGCATGTAGATTTAGGCAGGGGAAAACAGTTGATTGCATTTTAACAAATTTGCTGCCATACTTAATGAGCTGCATAAAGAACAGAGAATTGTATTAATCAATCAATTTCTAATGGAGATTTAAAAAGAGGAACATCTTCACCCATGCAATATGTCATTTGACAAAAATGGGCTACCCAGAAAACTAAAAACATAACTAACTACTCTTACTCTTCTACGTTCTGACTGCTGAGTGCAATGCCAGTTTCATCATTATTCAAATACTAAGGATTGGAAAGGTTTGAAGGTAAACTCAAGTCAACATTTTTACTTTTTCCAACGTATTAAGAAAAATACCAAAACCTGATATTAACTCCCAACAGAAAACAAGAGTGTGGTAAGGAAAATGTCAGAGAATCATCTTGTTTTCTGCTCTAGCATGTGATCTTTTGGCTGTTTTTCTGCCTACAGCTGAATATATGCCCTATAAACCCCTTAAGCACATCAGAATCTCTGGATGTTGTTACAATTTGCCCATGTGTAGGTCTGAGAGGGAAGAGACCATAAGAGCAAGAATATGGTAATTCTTTCTTTCCCCTCCCAGCATTAATTCTTCTTTAATCCCTTAATTTCTCTTTCTTATTCAATTATTTTCCTTCCACAATCCATGACCACCAGCAAACCCTGTTTCAGGAGGCTTGATGTGCTGGTGGTCATGGAGTGTGGACGTGATCTCATTGCCATACCTTTGACACCCCACAGAATCTTGTCTTGTGCTTGTCTACAAAATAAATACGCACTTGTCAGTGAGGAAATGACATGGAAAAGAATTAGCTGCTGAAACTTGAGCTATGAAATGTTGTCTTCTGGTTGTAAACAAGTTGGCTGGGGAGGTAATAGAAATAGAAAAAGAGGCTGTCCCAGTTCTGCACGTGGCCACTCCTCTGGACATCTTCCAGGTCCCAGCTGTTGTGGGCTGGGCATGGAGCACTTACTATTCAGTTTCACTCAAAAAGAAAAAGTTGAGAGAGGAGCTCATTCCCAGCCCAGTTCTGAAGACTCAATTCCTACAGTCAGTGAACCATTAGCAGACCAAGCTCCCCGAGGAAGGGTGCAGGTGGACCATTCAGGGTAGTCCAGCCTGGGTTTGTCCCAAGGGACAGCCATGGCTGAAGTGTGTAAGAAAGGTCTGGAGAAATAGACTTACCTGCAAAAACCTGGGGAGAAGACAGCTTTTGTCAATGCCAATGAGGATGTGTAGGATCTCCAATACAGATAATAACTGGCAAAGGCGCATTACAAGTCCTATGGAGTAAAATGTGTCGGCCAATGAATCTACAGAGTGAAGAGGAAAATTAGAGGGTGGATGTATAGTAAAAGTCTGGACCAACTACTGTGTTTACTTTTGCGCTATCACCACTGGAGATTACAAAGAATAAAGTTCACACAGTACCAAAGTTTTGGGTAGCAGAAGTAAAGCTTCACGTAGGGGAGGAGGCAGCGCACTCTGTGTGTGTGGCTCTGAAACAGAGGCAGGAAGCTGAGAAAAGAATGAGGTCCCCTGTACTGGATGCACTGGCAAACACTGTGCAGGATGTGTTCGTTTAGAGATATTGCTTTAGGATATTTCTAAATATGAGGAAATGTTGAGGAAATGTATGAGGAGTGTCTAAACATGAGGAGATGTTGAGTTCCTGCCTGTATCTGTACCCATGGCACTTCCTAAAACAAGTAGACCATAAAGTCGGTAGTTTATGTGCCTACAAGTGTCCACTATTACAAATTTAAAATTTCCAGTTACTAGTTTTCTATTTTTGTGCCTTAACCTCAGGCAACAGAAAGAGAAATATAATGCTTTTCGAGATAGAGAGTCACGTGCAATAACCACAAAGTTACTCCCTTCTAAGTGGCTTCAATAAGATTAATATTCACCATAATGACTGGACCTAGTCACATTTAGGTCTGTGTCTAAGTCAAATGTTACTAGCATGCTGCTGAATAGTAAAGCTCATTAGTAAAACAAGAGCTTCATTCCTGATGTGATACAGGCAGAATGTATGTATCAGTAATTTGTTCATCCTTTTTAACAGAAGAACCAATGTTTTTTTCTAGTTGAAATTACAGCCCCTGGTTTTGGAAGTACACCTATTCAGAACCCTAACTTTATCTCTAATTCGGTGTTTCTGTGTGTCACTACCTCTTAAAATGTTTAAGGAAAATACAGAAGGAATCCTACCTTTTCCAAATGACACGAACCTGATGATCATATTTGTAAATATCCAGGAATGTCCACAGAACTGCAGCAAGTCATACGCAAAGAGGTACGTGTTCATGGTAAAGCTGTGGAGGTGAAATGATAAAGCAAACTGTATGAGTTTATATGATGTTCAAGATTTTTGACCTGTAGAAATTGCACCCTCTTTGGACATGTTAGTAGATCAAAGGAAAACTGCTGAAATTTAAACGGATCAGTGAAAACTGTCTGTGTCTGCCAGCAGTCACAGAACAGTACTCTCCCTGATGGGAGAATGCTGGATTCAAGCCTGAGCCCCCTTGGCTTGGCTCTCCCTACCAGGCTGGAGGAACTGCTGGGGTCACACCTCCTGCAGCCCTGCTGAGGGCCCTGGGCTCCTGCAGATATTGGCCTCCAGATTTCTGCATCTGGTTAAGATTTATCCTCGTCTTCCCAGAAGACATGCCTCTAGCACACGCTCAAGACAGCTTAAAGTACAATGCATATAATTTGCAGTGCCTCCATCAGACAGCATAGTTGTAAGTATTTATAAAAATGTAGGTGGAGACATGGAAGAGAAAGACACATTTCAATCTGCTTTTATTTGATGCAGTCTGATGGATACGTGTGTTTTTCTTTTTTAAACATCTACAGGTTTTCAAGATAAACATTAAATTAGGGTATTTGTCTTTCTGCACAGCCTGTGTTTCAAGTTGCATTTAATAAAGTGAATCTTCTTCCATTGAAGCAGACTAACTTTTGTAGCTATTCTAACCTAATTTCTATAGGCAATCTGACTTTTTGCAAAACTTCATTGACTCTGGAGATACTTAATTTCCCTTTCCCATAAATCTGTTTCCTTCTGACTTACTCTGGAGAGAGATGCTTGCTTGTCTTCCAGCTATGTAAAGGACTGCCTACCTTTTGGGGAAAGGGATTTGTTAATTTTGTACTAGAATTTATCTCCTGTGTTTGACCCAGTAAGTAGTTACATCTATTTAAGTTGCTCCTTGATCCAGTGTGTTCATGTGCTATGTCTCTGCCATCAAACTTTATTTCATTTGTATCTGCACATTAACACAGTACATTTCTAAATATGATAAATGCATATACTTCGTTCCCAGCATTGGACCAAGACCATAAATAACAATACACACTTCTGAAAATTGATCTAGATAAAGTGATCATCTAAATTTTTAATCTAAGTATAACCTAGGGAGGTCATAGAAAACGCCTTTCTTCCTCTCTTCCAGTTATGCAGGGTGGCTGCTCTTCATATCATTACTTCTACAAGTACAGAAAGATTTGTTGTCATAATTTACCTACTGAGAGACATCACTGCCCTTTGATACTGTGAAAATAAGACATATGGGGACCCAGACAAAGGAATGTATCCCATAAATACTCCTTTTAGGAAAAGTACGATACAACTCAATTGGACTAAAGTCCAGGGAGCTCTACAAATATTGACCCCAAATCCCATTGCTTTATTACTGAATGATACCCTGTTCTCTCTTGTAGTAAGAAAAAAAGGTAGGACACTGTACATTACAAAAAGGCAAAAAATTAAGAACATTTTTCTGATTTAAGAAACAGCCTTATTACTGGATGGATAGGAATTACTGTAATGGGTATGAACGTTACAGGAACAGTTATAAAAATCTTGAGGCTTTCCAGACAGCACTTCCACCAGTCTCTTTGGTCTGATAATTGACCTTTGGGCTTTGCATGGGATGGAAGCTGAGCATATGGTTCCTCTCTTCTTCTGAAGTTTGCTACACCTGTATCTCATCCTCAGAATTTGTCTTTCAGTGACTTGGGCTTATTTTCCAAAGTCTTTCTCCATTGGCTGGCTAGGATATTGTTGTCTTTACAAATCTTAAGCTGCTTAATCTTGGCTAAACAGGATGTAACCAAGAGGACATTGTAAAAGCAGCTTCACACTGGTGTTTTGGCAATATGGCAGCCATTGCATGTTAGAACTCATCCTCTTTAAAATGTACTGGCAACTACTGAAGTGTATACACACTGCTGGCATTTTGTAGGCCCCATATTCCTAGTGAAGTGTAGAGAAGTGCTGGTGGGCAGTGTGACAGTGTTACCTGGAGGACTGATCGCGGCCCCCGAGCTGAGAGCAGCACAGCTCCCTCACTTGGCAATGCTCTCCACTGTGTGAGGGAACAGCCCTGACTGCAAAATAGGGTTTCACCCTACTATGTTAACTCCAGCACAAAAGGTACCTATGACCAAACAGATACCTTTGACAGAAGTGAAGAAATCTGCAGAGAATTAAAGGTGATTTCAAGTGTAATCAAAGGAAACTGAAATGTAACTGTTCTCTGAGGTCTTTCTCATCCAGAGGCTGATGTCTTTACTTAGAGAACCCAAAACAAACTGATGATAGCCCATTTCACTGACCTAACAGTTTTGTATCACAACACAAAATTGAGCCATCAGCTTCATCACTGTGAGAAGAGACAGGCTTTAATTAGATTTCCTGCTCCCCTCAGTTCACAGCAGGCATCATTCCATGTTTACCTCACAGATCCTGCTTCTGCAGCACCCTTGCACACAAAACACTGACTAGCTATCCACCAGGTAGCTCTTCAGTTCCTGATCCTGCCCCAGACTTGCAGGCTGACCTTACAAACCTCACTCAGCCCCTGTGCTACCTGGTTTGTAAAATGGATTTGGCTGCTGCATTATTCCCTGTAGTGTGATGTGCTTTAACACTTTCAAGTTGCTTAAATTTGAAGGCACAGGGAGAGCACTGAACATTTCAGTACTCTGCCAGCACTGACGACAGGAAAAAGAAACAGACTTGAATATTGCAATAGAGAGGCCCAGAAGGCTGGACTTGTTGTCTCTTTTCAGTTCCATATTGCTTACTGTGGCTGATTTTATACCAAATACATTGAAATGCTAGGAATGCATTTATCATATTTAGGAGCAACCTTGATCAGTGGAAAGCTTTATCTGCTTTCTCTCTGGGCACCAAACTTAGGAAACTAGATGAAACCTTAGACCACTTTGAACTAGCACACATAGCACCATGGTCCCAAACATCCTCTTTTCCCTTTTATTCACCAGCAGAGATTTTACCAGTGATACAGTTTTAGCTTGCAAAGCCTGACATATTTCCACAGGCAGAAAAAACATACCACTGTTGCATTTTATTATTTTAAGCATGAAGGTCTTCATTCTGCCTCTGTGGTAGCTCTCACCTGATATAAGTACAGAGGTAGATGCCCCCAGTGTCTGAAGCGTGATCAGGACCGTGTCCCCCTTGAGCTAAGGTGACAGGTAGCACAGCAGCGGCACCCAGCTCGGGGCAGCCCTTGCCCCGGCCAAGTGTCCCTTGCGAGATGCCAGGATGAAGGCCACACTCAGATCCTTCTCAGGGGGGTTCCCACCCAGGCCTGCATGAACTGAGCACTTCCCTGCTTCCAGCGCTATTGCACGCTGATGCCTTCCCATGCGCCCATACTGGCTGGCCGCACATGAGGAAGCACCCTGGCGCTGAAACCAGAGCTCAATGTTCCTTTTTTTCTTTTTCTTTTTCTTTCTGTAGGAAAGGTCTGCTAGAAAAGCCCCTCTGCTGATACGGTTTCCTTTTAAGTCATACTGGTCTGAACTTCTACTCCTTCCCCCTCCCTCCCCTGTGACAAGCTGCAAGTGCTCAGGAAGAAGAAATCTGCTGAGAACCAGTACAAAGCATGTGCTTTTCTCTCACAGACACATCCCACCCCTCTTTTTTTCCCCTCCCTTTTTGCATTTCGGTAGTCTAGGTCACCTGCGCTCAAGAGATATTACCTGTTGCAGGGGTCGGGTGGCTGCTGCTGCTCCTGATCTTTCTCTTTTTTTCTCTCTCCATCTGCAACAGCTGTTTGTTAGGAGAACACCCCTCCTCTTTCCTCTTCCTCCACCCCACGACGTCACCGTATTTAGCACTAAGCAGGAACAGCACTGCACTTCCCAAGAAACGAGTTTCTAACCCCAAATATCTCCGCTCCATTTACCCTGCTCCTCACCCAGCCTAGCCTAACCTAGTTTATGCTAACTTAACCTAACCTAATCTAGCCTAACCTAACCTGAATTGGTTTCTTGCTATCATACCAGTAAGCTAGACTGTAAATCTTACCTAGTCTTTCAACCCAGAGCAATATTTTGAAGGATTACTGCAGAGAAGAAATGCAAAATTAAAGATTTGTTTTTCTCTTCTGTTTAAATACTCAGCACTACAACAAAGCTAACAACACTATCAAATGATAAGGAAGGCTGGGAACAAAGCATAAAAGGAGCACTTTAAATTACTTCAGATAGAAGGAAGAATTTTCCACTTATCTAGAAATGTCTATTTATTCATACCCCTGTGAAATACGGGCCCTACTGGCATAAGAAATGTAGGTGTGCATCCTAGTTTACTTCTGCCCTAAAGTTTCTGGGATATCTCAGCATAAATCGGAGGAAGAAGAATGTCATAACATGTTTATAAACTCCCTTCTGCCTATAAATAAGGTTTACCACTGGCTCTCACCTTGAAAGCACATCCCATCCTACAGTGAGATTTAAAATTTGATTTTATGACTGAAGAAGTCACCAAGGACATAATGAGCATAGGATGTTATGACTAAATACAAAAAGTCTGGGGAATAAAATGTGCCTTACTGGGTCTTATCCCTACTGCAAGTGGCAGTGCAAGTGGCACTAAGCTCCTGGCAAGGCCATCTCGACTCGCTGTGGTGTCCTGGAGAGGTGAGAAATGCCAGCCTGTCAAGTGGGTGACTTCCTGGCAAACACAGTGGGACACGGTGATTTTCCTGGTTGTCTCCCATCGGGACCTTAGCCAAAGCATCAGCAGTTACGCCAGGCTTTCCTGCTGGGGTAGCAGCTCATTTCTACCGCTCAAGAACCGTCATATATTTCTAGGCTAAAGAATGTATTTCTTTCTCAGGAGGAAATATTAAATCAGCATTTAAATAAAGGGTTAAACAGTTTTTTAAGATGGCTATTGAAAGGCTCAGCCCACAGCTCTTGCAAAACAGCTCCCACACTTCGTGTCTCTGGGAGGACAACTGGTGTGACTAATACTGCCAAGAGTTGAGCTCACGGCTGTAACAAGATCCAGCAATAGGAAGAACAGCTCTTTTCAAACACCAGGCAAATACTTAAAAGCAACTAAAGCTTGCCCAGCTTTGTGATGTGCAAAATCCTTCAGCTGCCAAGTGAAAGTTCCCACAGATGACAAGGGCACCTGCATCTGCTTGCAAGCTGGATACTGATTCCCTTCCATGGTGCTGGCCACCCCAGAGGGACAAGCCTGGCAGGAGGGGCAGCTGGGCGGCCATGGCAGCCAGCAGCCCGCTGCACAGCCAGAGCTGCCCTTTAGGTGCTGAGGAGGTGGTGCCCACCTCTGGAGCATTTTGAGGGCTTTCCTTTGACAGCAGTTTGGCCCTGTGGACTGGATGCCCATTGCTTACTGGAAAAAAAAGTCTCCTGGTGTGACAGTATGTGAAAGGAGTGATGTTATCCTCCAAAAGGCGTGATGTTGGTGCACTCCAAGCCTGCTCTGTGATTAGGAACAAGGCATTGCAAGGGGCAATTACTAGAAAATTAATTTGCTTCAAAGGTGTACTGCTGACCTGAACTATAATGTTATTGGAAATACACCCATTTGAGTGGCAATGCGCTGCAGTGGGGGAGCCAAGATACAAGGCTCATAAATCCACTATTATACAGATATCCAAATTCCTCTTTGAGAGACAAATAGAATACAACTGAGCCAGTGGGTTGTAGTAGATCTGGCCAATCAGACCTGCTGCTAGCCGTTAGGATCTGTTTTTCACAAGAAAAATCCTTCTCCAAAGTTTTTTTTCCTGTGTACAACTTCCAGTTGAAAACACATGTGAGGTGTCTTTAGTTGTGTGACTTGCAGTGGCGCTTTTGTAGTGTGACAGCTGAAATGTATGAGAAAGGAAGATTGGTAACCAGAGGTAACAGCTTTTAGACTAAATGGAAGTGGCAACACTTCCAGGCACAGGGAGTTTGGAGAAAAGCTTTTATGCTTAAAACATTTCACGATTTTGTAAACTGCAAAGACTTTCAGATGAAAGCAAATATTAAATGACACTATTATAATACATATTAGCTGGGTATGGGAAGACTAGAATAAGTCCTGGAAAAAAAATCTAGCTTTTTTTTTTGGAAAGTAAACTTTTTTCTCCACTCCAGCTACTTCTCTTTCAGACAAACTTCTATCTAGAAACTGCTTAACCGGCATCAAAAACCTACTTGTCTGTAACTGCTGGCATCTCTTCAGCATGTATTAAACCCGAGTCTCCTGGATTTTTCAAAACCTAAACAGATTGTAATGGTGTTTGGTTTCCCTGCGTCATGAGGTGGGAAAAACATGCTCTGTCTGGGCACGGTGCTTGTGTCTGGAGATGTTGCAAGGGGGTTCTTTATGGGTAAAGCTAACAGCAGCCCTGAAATGTTTCATGTGATATGGAAAGAATCTTATTCTCTTCAAATAGGAAACATCCCTAGGATAAAACATCTGCTCCTTTTATGCATAGCTTTCGTTTCCAAATCCTTGCTATAAATGCAATATGAAGATATAGTTTAAGAAAATAAACCTGGTGTCTTAAAATTAATTTTCGGTATTGCTAACTGGTAACTTTATGTCCCCTTTCCTCCATGATTAGATTTTTTGGCTACCTGAATTCAAACCCATGTTTTGGCCAGTGGATTACACTAGTTTAAGTACTGGTGAACCAGAGCTCCTAAACACATGCTTCCAATTAATCTTAATTGGAAGAACACACTCCAGTACTATTGCCTTCAGTTGAAGTAAACTGGGCTGTCTGGGGGCTGTGGGGCTGATGTGGTGCAGTACAGGTCTCCCTTATTTCTCACTGAGAGGCACAGTATTTGCACAGCACTGGCTGGTGTTTAAGTCCAGTGACCAAGGCTGCCAGTGAGAAAAGGAAGGCTGTGCAGAGGCAGTGGAGGAAGCAAAGTTGTCTCCACACTGCAAGCAAGTAGCGGGGGAAAGTGTCAAGGTTTTTGTCAAGCCTCTCAAACTGGGCAAAAGAGGAAGCAGAAGCCATGCCA